TGCTCCTGTCAATCAGTAATGATGAAGATTTCAACTGGCATGTACTGTAGCGAGCAGGAGTGCAGGCGCGGTGCAGCAGCAGGATCAGGCGTGCAAGCAACAGGGGCGTGATTGCAGGATCAGGCGCGTAGAGGGGAGAGTGCAGGCTCAGACGCGCAGAGGCCCGGGGTGTGACGCAGCGTGCAGGAACTGGTGCACGAGCTAGGGGGCGCGGTAGAGTGCAGGCTGGGGTGCAGCAGGGCAGCAGAGCCTGGGGGCGTTGGGCGCGGGCTGGTGCAAGGCTAGGCAGGGCTGGTTCAGGAGAGAGGAAAAAAATGAAAAAAGAATTGATGGGGGAAAGGAGAAAGTTCCAGATGCCTTCCTCTTTTTCTCTTTTTGTTGTTTTCTTTTTCTTTTTTTTTTCTTTTTTTTTTTTGGGTTTGGGTTAAACGGGTTTTGGTTCTTTGGGTTTTTGGGCTTTTGGGTCTGAGACTTTAAATCAAAATGGGTTGGTGTTGGGTTTGGTTTGAGTTTTGGAGTGGGCTTTGGGTTTGATGGGTTTTGGGCTAGACTTTGCATTTCACCCCTCCAACTTTTCATTTCTTCAACTGGGTCCCTCATCCTTCAACTTCTTTCCAATCGTCCACAAAAATCCCCATTTTACTCATGAACCTAACAATAGAAGCAAAGATAACAATATATTAGTTAAAATAAAATAAAAATAAAATCCTATTAAAAATTTGAGTTATGACACCAATGAAAATGGAAGTGTTCGTTGGAGAGTGCAATTGGCGAGTGCCTCTGCTACTGCTCAATTGGAAAATGTGTCCGTATAAAGTAAATTCAAATTTGAAAAATGTGCCAGTACAAAAGCAATTCAAAATTTAAAAGGTAAAGTTTATTTTTGGCCCTTAGTTTTAAAGTTTTATATAATTTTCATTCTTTAATTTTTTTTCATATATTTTTTAGTCCATTAATTATGAAAAATGTATTTTTTATTTTTTTTATCAGTTATTCAATTAAGTTTGTCTAAATATACGTATTTAATATTAAAAAAAAGAAAAAAAATTATGAATATTGATGCACTAAAATTACCATAGTAAATGTACTAATCGCTTCAAGTAATATAATGATGAATAGAGTGTTAAACTCACAAAAATTGTGTCTAATTAAGTACCAAAATAATTATTCTAAATTTATTTGAACAATCAAATAGGAAGAACTTTAATTAAAAAAAATAAAAAGAAAATAACAATTAAAATAAACTTAACCAATATATAAAGTACTAAGACATTGACTTTACCATAATCAATTAATATAAATTCTGAATTAATATGCTTCTAAAATCAATTTGGGATAAAAACCATAGCAAAGGGAAAAAGAGTGCACTGTGTATAAAACTCCCCCTCAGTTCAACGAAGCTCTTTAAGACGTCGCATGCCTATCTTGTGTACAAGTTGTTCAAAAACTTTGGTAGGCAGTGACTTTGTGAGAAGATCTGCAAGATTTTCGTTTGAACTGATTTGTTGAACATCTATTTCACCAGCATTTTCAAGTTCATGTGTGGAGAAAAACTTTGGAGAAATATGTTTGGTTCTATCTCTTTTGATGAATCCTTCTTTTATTTGTGCAACGCATGCAGTATTATCCTCATATAATAAGGTCAGATTTCCTGTAATTGCTTTAAGACGACATGTTTCTTAAACATGCTGGATCAAATATCTTAACCATACACATTCTCGACTGGCTTCCTATAGAGCAATCAATTTTGATTCATTTGAGGATGTGGCAACAACGGTCTATTTGGTTGAACACCATGAAATTGCGTTACCAGCATATATGAACAAATATCCAGTTTGTGATCTCCCTTTATGTGGATCAGATAAATATCTAGTGTTTGCATATCCAATCAATTCTGGTTTTGAATGCTTTGAGTAAAATAATCCCATGTCTTTTGTTCCTTAAAGATAATGAAATAAATGTTTAATTCCATTCCAGTGTCTTTGTGTTGGTGTAGAACTATATCTTGCTAACAAATTCATAGAAAACGCGATATCAAGTCACGTATTGTTAGCTAAATACATCAATGGACCTATGACACTTAAATATGGTATTTCCAGACCAAGAATTTCTTCGTTATCTTCATGAGGTCGGAAAGGATTTCTCTTTACATCAAGGGATCGAACAACCATTGGAGAGCTTAAAGGATGAGATTTGTCCATATTGAATCTCTTCAATATCTTTTCAACATAATTTAGTTGATGGACAAAAATTCCATTTGATAAGTACTCGATTTGTAGACCGAGACAAAATTTTGTTACTCTGAGATCTTTCATCTTGAATTCGTTCTTTACACATTCAATTGCCTTTTCAAGCTCTCCAGGTGTCCCAATGATGTTTATATCATCAACATATACAAAAATAATAGCAAAACCAGATTTTGACCTTTTGGTAAAGACACATGGGCTAATAGAATTATTTTCATATCCTTCTTTTAGGATATATTCACTTAGGTGATTATAACACATTTGCCCTGATTGTTTCAACCCATACAAAGACCGTTTTAATTTTATTGAAAATATCTCTTTTGACATTGATTTGTATGCTTCAGGCATTTTAAGTCCAACATGGACTTTTATATAAATGTCACTATCAAGAGTGATCCATATAAATAAGTAAGCAATTACAACATCCATAAGGCGCATTTGAAGGCCTTCAGAAACTGCTAAACTTATTAGAAACCTGAATGTAATTGCATCCATCATAGAAGAATATGTTTCCTCATAATTAATGCTAGGTATTTGTGTAAAGCCTTGAGCTAACAGTCTAGTTTTGTATCTCACAACCTCATTTGTCCCATTTCGTTTTCTCACAAACACTCATTTATAACCGACAGGCTTTACATTATTGGGTGTTTGGACAATTGGTCCAAAAACTTGGCATTTTTCTAATGATTTCAATTCTGCTTGAATTGCATCTTTCCATTTTGGCTAATCACTTCTTTGTTGGCATTCCTCAATGGATTTCGGTTCAAGATCCCCATTTTCATTGACTATATCATTTGCTATTGCAAATGCAAAAACATTGTCAATGACAATATCATTTCGATTCCACTTTATCCCAGTGAAAATATAATTTATTAAGATCTTATCATTATCTGCAATTTCTGCATCTTCCTTATTTTCAAGAACTTGAACCTTTTCTGAGATTATTTCTTTAGATGCATTTTCTAGTTGTTGTTTAGGGAACTCTTGAGTCTCTACAATTTTAGTGGAGCCAGCATTTTACTTTCTCTTCATTCTTGGATTTTTATCTTTAGAACCGACAAGTCTACCACGCTTCTGGCGTATAGTAGATTCATTTGCCACTATTTGAGCACCTTTTTCAATAGGAATATTAATTCAAGCAGAAGCATTCAAAACTGGGATATATGAACTAGTTACTTTCTTTGCAACAGTGAACGCATCAGGCAATTGATTTGTAATCTTTTGCAAATGAATAATTTTTTGAACTTCTAGTTCATTTTGACTCGTTCAAGGGTCTAAATGAGATATAGATAATGCATCCTAAGTTAATTCCTATTTTTTCAACTTTTGTTCCTTTCCCCCTAATGCTGGGAACAAATTTTCATCAAAATGACAATCAACAAATCTTGCTGTAAAGAGATCATCAGTCATTGGTTTAAGATATTTAATTATAGATGGGGATTCAAAACCAACATAAGTTCTCAGCCTTCTTTGGGGACCCATTTTAGTGCGCTGTGTAGGAGCAATAGGAACATATACAACACAACCAAAAGTCTTTAAATGAGATATATTTGGTTCAATCCCAGAAACAAGTTATAATAGTGAATGCTTATAATAAGCAGTTGGCCTTAATCGAATTAATGTTGTAGCATGCAATATAGCATGGCCCCAAGCAAAAAAGGGTAACTTTGATCTCATAAGTAGCGGTCTTGCAATTAATTGTAGACACTTAATAAGAGATTCAGCTAGACCATTTTGTATATGCATATAAGGAACTTGATGCTCAACAGTAATCCCAATTGACATACAATAATCATTAAATGATTGGGATGTAAATTCTCATGCATTATCAAGTCGGATCCTTTTTATTGTATAATAAGAAAATTGTACCCTTAATTTTATTATTTTTGCAAGCAGCCTTGCAAACGCAACATTGCATGTAGATAATTGAAAAATATGCAACCATCTTGTTGAAGCATTTATCAATACCATAAAATATTGAAATGGTCTAGTTGGCTGATTTATAGGTCCAGATGGCTGATTTATAAGTCCACAAATACCTCATTGAATTCATTCCAAAAATGGAGATTCATTTTGTAGTTTAGTTGTAGAAGGCCTGGTAATTAATTTACCAAGGGAGCAGGCAACAAACGAAAAATCACTTGATAATAGAACTTTCAAGTTCTTTAATGGGTGTTCATGTGAACATTCTATAATCCTCCGCATCATAATAGCACCCGAATGACCAAGTCGATTATGCCAAGGGATAAAGGCATCTGAATTGACTATTTTCTGATTAATCATAGCATTGGATTCTATTGGATATATATGTATAATACAATCTAGAAGAGAATGTTAACATTGTCTCCAATATTTTCCTTTTTCCAAATGCAAAAGTTGTGACATGGAGGAATTCTATTCCATTCTCATCTATGGTTTCAATATGGAAACTATTACGATGTATACCTTTAAAACTTAATAGATTTCGATTTGATCTACTAGAATATAAAGTGTCATGTATTAACAATTTTGTTCCTCCAAGCAATAAAATGCAAGTTTTCCCAGAGCCTTCAATCAACTTTGCCATACCAGATATTGTATGAATATTAGCATCAGCTAACTTTAATTGAGAAAAATAATTCTTATTTCTCAAGATGGTATGTGTTGTGCCACTGTCAACAAGACATAGGTTTCCATCATTGATTTTAGCATCATCCAAGTTCATTTGGTCTTAAATAAAGACAAATGAAACAGAAGAGACAAATAATCAATATATATATTCTGAAATGATTATTCTTTTATTGAATATATAAAGGACATTACATATAGAAAAAGGAAAATAGCCACAAAGGGCAAATTATTTAAGAGGACATAATAAGTCAAACTCTTGGTTGAGTATCACCAACACCATTAAACTTTTCAACACCCTAAAAAAAATCAGCAACATCAAGGTGTGTATCAAAATCCACATTTCCCTTTTCATTAAGTGAGGCTTGGTAAAGATCAACCAAATGCCTAGCAGTGCGACAAGCACGCTTCCAGTGTCCTTTTGCTCCACATCAATAACAAAAACTTTCAAAAACTTTTGCAGGGTTCTTTTGTAAATTTCTATCCCTTACATCCTTTTGTTTAGCCAATTTATATTTGGGGTTGAAACCACTACGATGCCAAGTATTATTTCAACCACGGGCATGTCCTCGGCCATGGTTATTGCCACAATTACGACCACGATGACGGCCTCGACCACGCCCATAATTATTATATGAGGTTGCATTTGCCTCAGGTAATGAGGCTGAACCAATATGTCGTGACTGATGATTTTTCATCAAAAGTTCATTATTTTGTTCAGCGACAAGAAGATATGATATCAAATCTGAATATTTTTTAAAGTCACACTCTCGATATTGTTGCCAAAGAAGCAAATTCAAGGCATGAAAAGTGGAGAATGTTTTCTCCAACATGTCTTCATCAATAATTTTTTCACCGCATAATTTTAATTGAGATGAAATGCGAAATACTATGAAGTTATACTCACTCACAGATTTAAAATCTTGCAATTGCAAATGCATCCATTCATAACGAGCTTTTGGTAGTATCACCAATTTTTGATGATCATATCTTTCTTTCAAATTTTGCCATAATTTGAATGGATCTTTGATTGTCAAATATTTGGCCTTCAATCCCTTATGAAGATGATGGCGAAGGAATATCAACGCTTTAGCGATTTTGTAAGGAGGCTTGATTTCCCTCAACAATTGTTTCACCAAGATTATTTGTAGCTAAATGGATTTTAACATCAAGTATTCATGGCAAATAATTTAAGCCCGTTATATCAAAGGTGGCAAATTCAAGTTTTGTCAAGTTTGACATTGTGGTTGCAAAAATTTGTTAGATTGAAATCAAATTGAAATTAGAAAAACAAATGATTACCTTAAAGAGCTCACCACAAATTGAATGGTGGAGATGATCGTGCTGATAACGTATTATAAAATAAGAGGTAGAGTAGCAAGATGACAAATAAAAAGAGAGAGTTTCTTATTTCACTATTTTCTCTTCCATATATCAATCATACAAATTTGTAGGCCTATAGATAGGCTAAGGGACATAGAGGGGGTTACATTTGCCATTGAATAGGACTAAATGAGAGAATGAATGACACCTTGCCCTTTGAATGGCCTTTAGTGGGATCGTGAATGATCCTTTAATGGTGAGGAATGAGCCTTTAATTGTGAGGAGTTACAATATGAAAGAAAATGAAAGTGAAGGTGAAACATTCACCAATAAGAAAAATTCACAATAAGCTTTTTATTGAAGTGATTTTTTTTGTTTATTTTTGGTAATTATTATTTTTGATAAAATTGCAAATTTCTAAAATTAAAATATATGGTAATCATATTATATGAAAGTTGTAGGGTGTCTAACACTTTCTTCATGCTTAATCGACACTCCAATCCTAATTAATTTTTATATAGATTTTGGTGATTTATCTCACCTCATTTAGATAGATAGTGACTCCATCCATTTGGACATGTCAACATTAGTAAAAAAACATAAATATTATTAATAAATTAACATACATGAATAATTTATTAAAAACATTTAAATAATTTCAGAAAAATTCTTTCAATTATTTTTTCGCCTTGGTTGACCTGAAAATCACTTGCATTGTATGCTATTTTTTCACCAACTTCTTCTTCTTCTTCTTCTCTCAAACTCTAATCTTGCACCTGCAATAAACGATCCTAACTTGTCAAATTTTGAGATAAGTCAACAAGGGGCAAGGAAGACTAAAAATGAAGAATAATCTTAATGGATAAAATTAAGAGGGTAAAAGTTTCACATTCATAAAAAATGGGCATTTGGATGCTCAGAAAAGATTTGATATGATCGACGATTTCTAGAGATTGGTAAAGCCCATTCTTGAAGAAGTAATTGGAGATATCATAGGAAATATGCGAAGGATCTTGAACGTGACCAACAAAAAACCAATCAGCCCCCAAATCTCAACTTACATAGAGGAAAATGGTAGATATAGCAATTGATCTCAAGATCAGTACTGCAGCTCCTATGAATATTGCCGGTTCTCTCCACAGTTCTCTTCATGCTTATCCTTCGGAGTTAATAGGGGCTTCTCCTTGAGTAGAGCTCGAGAGATTATGTGGTTCGAATCACAAGCTGAGATTTAAAAATAAAAAAAAGAAAAAGAAAAACAAAACACAGTGGCCTTCAGTTCTTTACTAATTAAATTAGAGAAAACAAAATGTACGTGTGGAAACATAAAGGTAAAGTAGAATCTTTTATAAGGGAGGTTAAATGTGAATTTTAATTTCCTAGTTTTAGAATTTTATATAATTTTGTCTTTTAATTATTTGAAGTATTTTTTTGGTACTTAAACTTAAAAAAAATGTACTTATTTATTTACTTGTCAATTAATTTATTAATTATGTTTATATATGTACGATCATAAGTTTAGGATTAAAAATATACACATATTTAAATTTAAACATTAATATATATATAAACAAATTTAATAAATTAACTAATAAAATAACAAAAAAATATATTTTTTAAAATTAAAGAACAAAAAATATATAAAATAAAGTTGAAAAATAAAAATTTGGTAAAATTCTAAAATTAAGGGAGTAAGATTGCCATTTAACCTATAAAAAAGTGGGAAATAGGTAGGTGACTGTTACAGAATCCAAGAAGAAGAACTGTGAAAATTCTGGGGAATTAATCTATTGAATTGAAATAGGAACTCAAGATGAGATACAACGATAATATTGAAAAGATGAAGATTCTACTTAATTACCCGAAAGGATATATATAAGCCATAAATCGGCTTTACAAATATCCTAATTAAAGTAAATAAATACCCACTAACCTAAATAATAGGAGCACTAATCAACAACCTAGTAGTGTCTTAATTCTAGGAAAGAACAAGTAAATAACGTAAATCTCCTAAATAATAGAGATAATGACTAAAAACTAGGAACTACTCTCCAACAATCCCTCCCTTAAACTAAAAATCCTCAGACTTTAATTTAGAGAAATCAAGAAAGTGCCACATCTGCAATCTAGAACTTGCAAGCCTTTTCTCAAATTGGATTTTTCATGTTGCAAACACTAAGTAACTCTCTAAGTCATGAAAAAAGTTGCTAGTTTGAGGGGTTTTGTGAATATATCAACCACTTAATCTTTTGTTCTGCAATAAATCAATTCAATTATTCCATTTTCTACCAAGTTGCCCAGAAATGATACCTCACATGTATATGCTTGCTTCTCCCATGCAAAATTGGATTTCTAGAAAGCATGATAGTTGAACTGTTATCACAATAAATTGAAGTGGCCTCATGTTGATTCATCTCAAGTTCTTCCAAAACTCTTCTCATCCAAACAACTTGATAAGCATATGAAGTTGCTGCCACATACCTTGCTTTTGTTGTGGACAAAATCACAATGGCCTACTTCTTTTAAGACCATGAAACTGTGATGCACCCAAATACGCACTACTCTTAAGCAAGTGAACCTAATTGATTATGCAATGTAAAATAAGTAAGATATAGTTCCCTCGAAAACTATTCTACACTACCAAGATGATAGTAATCTAGTTTAAGTTGAATTAACTAATTAATGGAACAAAGTTAAACTACTTAAACTAAAACTACTTAAGCTAAAGGAATTTTCTAAGTAAAAGAAACTATGAATGGAAAGAAACTAGGATTTAGATTTCATTTAATTCTAAGTTATGCAACTGTTCAATTAATCTAATTCAAGTTCAAATAATAGTGTTATCACATAAGACGACGGATTTCCCTCAATTAATTAGCTAGCTTTCTCAAGTCAAATTAATCCTTCACTTGCTTGTTAAATTAATCATATTTTTATGTAATTTAAAACAAATTAGTAAGCATTAAATTCTATGAAAGCCTCTAGCTTAGGAAATGGGAGCTCCCAACTCTCTTCTCTTTCTCCACGGCTACATGTGACGCCAATTACCTCTTGATCTCATAGTATAACACATGGTTTATATTATTATTAGTCTAATTTATGCAATTCTTTCTTAAGTTTATGCATAAATCACTAAATCAATTGAATGGTGATTAGACTTTCAATGCACTAAATTCAATAACATAAACTCATTATGTAAATAACCAATAAATCTTGATTTAAACTAAAAAATAGTCATATAATCTAAAAATTAAAATCCATCCAACTCTATTTCAAAAAATTTATCCACACATAATTAAGTTCTGAACAGCCATAAATAAGAAAAACCAACAAAGAACCATTGTAAAAGTCAAATTAAGAATGAACAAAACCAGTCTCAAAGAAGAGCAAAGTTGAACTTCAACGTTTTCCTCAATGGCATGTTGCTATGGACTGTATGTTGTAGATTTCCTATGCAAGGTTGGCGGAGAAGAAAAAACAGAGGTTGCTACGTCATCCCCCTCTGTAGAGTTTTTCAAAACAAGGCTGCAGAAGGAGAAATCCTACAATACAACGGGGATACCAGCTGATGTGATATCCCCATCCAATAGGAGGGTGACAGATAATTAAATTAATACACCTCATCATATGACGAATACAAGAGCTGAATCTCACTTAACGAAAAAGTTTCCGTTAGATACTCAAAGCTTTTCTCTCCTTTACGTCTACAGTTTACTCTTTCATCTCCTCAGCTCCTCAGTTTTCGATCTTCCCCAAATCTCTCCACTCCTCTGCATAATTTCTCATCTATGATATCAAATAGAAAAAGGAAATAATTTTTAATTTGTTTCTATTCATCAATTGTGCCATTTTGAATCAAATCTCAAATTAGTAAACTCAAATCCAAACGGATCTTTTGCCGTTTGCCCCTCTTCTTCCTTGGTGGTTCTCTTTCTTCATTCTTCCTGATAGTTCGAAGCCAAGAAAATAAAATTCCTCACTAA